AAATAAATAAATAAATAAATAAATAAATAAATGTCTTTTAAAAAAAAATAAATAAAAAAAAAAATAAAGTTATCCTGAATTGAGTATTTAATCCTATGTCGCAGACAGGGAACTGAGTCTCAACAGTTTATAAGTGGAATTCCCCAGCTCCTATATAACATAGACGGTGGGTCCCCATTTGCGGCATAAAGCACAAAATCATTTCAACACTAACAGAACTCTCACCTCTCAAGACACAGAACTTACCCTTTGCTCTTCCCATCCTTGCTGACTAGTCTGACCTCTACGGCATCTTCAAACACTTCTTTTAATTCATCCTGAGTGACTTTGTAAGGGAGATTTTTGGCCAAAAGTGTTCTTGCATCTCGATCTACATTTAAAAATAGATGAACAACATGAACAGAACCCAGGGAAGAAAATCCCCAGACACAGTTCTATCCAACAAATTAGGATCTTACCTTAAGTACAAGGCCTCTGCGAAGTACAGAGCCACAGCAGCGGCAAGACAGTTGTTCCCACCCATCCAGCACAGCTCGAGCCAGTCATGTGCCCTATATTTAGCACAGCGCCCACCTTAAGTGGCCGCAATCTTTCAATAAAAAAACTGGTGGCACACATCTGTCACCCCAGTCATGGTGGGACCAAAGTAGGAGGATCAAGTTCATGACCAGCCTGGGTAACTTAGAACACACTGTTTTGAGAGAAGCATCTATATTAATTTAGGTCCACATAAATTACTGAGTACTGCTACATGAAAAAAATGTTTTACCATTGGGTCTTGTTTTCTAGTTCAGGCTGGCTTTCAACTCACTGTGTATGAAACACTGCCTGGACAGCCTCAAACCTGAGGTGATGCTGATACAACCACCTGAATATACTACCACACCTAACTCAAAGAACTTTAGCACCAACAGGACACCACAAATCCAAACACCTTTGTCCTTGTCACCTTTGCCAAAATCAAGTCTTTTGTGTATTCAAATTGTACAAAAGGTGTAAAAATGTAAAGGACTCTACTCCATGATTAGACTTGTCTCATGCCAATATCTGATGCACATATGAAAATATTCCAGGGGTCAGGGAGATGGCTCAGTAGAATAAGCGCACCCGAGTTCAATCCGCAGTTCCGCAAAAAAAAAAAAAAAGAAAAAAGAAAAAACAAAAATATTCAAAAATACATGAATCCCAAGCATTGTGCTAACCTATAATTCTTTCCTGCCTAATAATGATCTCTCCTTGCCATTTTCTTTTTGGGGTTTTTTGTTGTTGTGTGTAGTACTGGAACTTGAACTTGGGACCTTGCACTTGCCAGCCAGGTTAGGTGCTTATGCCACTGAGCTATTTCCCCAGTCCTTTCCTTACCATTTTCTAAAGATTTTTGTGGTATCAGAATACATACCCAGCCCTTTTTAAGTTCTGAGACAAAATCCTAAGTGACCCTCCGGCTTCTGCCCTGCTGAGGGAATACAGGTATGCACCAGCACCTCTAGCCTCCCTGCCAGCTACTACAGTAAGCACTTCAAGTCAGTCAATTCTTACAACAGAAGAAACCAAGGGAGAAGGATGAAAGCAGCCAAGCCCAATCACACAATCCACAAAAACCTCACATACCTTTTTTGCTGTCTTTTCCTTTGGGCTTCTCTAATTTAATTTCACTGCCAAAGACTTTTAAACCGGTGAGTTCCAAGGCCTTTTCCAGGTCTTCAGCAGATTCAAAGTCTACATAGCCAAACTTCCTTCATAAAGAAGACAGCAAAATTGAAGGTGAGAAAGAAACCACCCGAAAGAACAAAACCCTCAACACAGCCTGCACTGATGTGATGCCACAACTAAGGTTACACCAGGAGAGCCTAGGCATGAAGTGAAGTGGCAATTTTGGGCTGCTAAACAAGGCCCAAGTCCCCACAACTGGGCAAATTCACCTGAGGCCTGTCAGCTCCACTCCAGTGGCAGCCAAAAGAACATACTTGGGCACTGACAGGAGAATCTGGCTGAACACCTCCACCACATCACCTTGCCAACACTTTGCATTAATACATTTGGCTATTTCTAACAGCACAGAAAGCATTCTCAAAACTGTTATGCTAGAGGCCAGGGAGATGGCTCAGTGGAATAAGTGCTTCCCTGGCAAGCACGAGGGCCTGAGTTCAATCCCTGGTTCCAGAAAAAAAGAAAAAAGAAAAAAAAAAACCCACAAAACTGTTTGCTATAATTTATTTCATCAACATTAAGTTTTTAAGCTGTTTACATTCATATTTAAGAATAATAAGCTACAAATCACTTACCTATTTGTACCAATTCTGACATCCACAGTAGTGAGATCATTTTTAGCAAAAGCTTCACTAATACCAGTTTTTAGTTCAGGAGCAGATTTGTTAGAATTCAGATTTCCAACGAAGAGATTGAACGCTGTAGTGGGTTCTGTGCCTGTACCAAAAAGGAAGCTGTTAAGTCTGTGACACAGTACATACCCATTTTCAGCACAAAATTTCTATCCACAGCACATCAGTACACTGCGTGTTAACATCAGATTTCAGCATTAAGTCCCTCTGTTGCTCATCCTTTGCGCTGTTCTGCAGCCCTTCACCCTATCCCCACCCATGTGCCCTCACTGTAAGTTACCTTCCGTTCTTGGTTTCTTGGCTTCAGGAGCTGCCTTCTGTTTTGCCATTTCCTTCTTTCGTTTGCCAGGTGCTTCTTTGACAGGCTCTGCACAAAATTTGAGATGTGTCATTCATTCCCACATGTGGCCATACATGCCAAGTTCATTCTTTCAACACAGCTCAGGTCAACGTACTTTAGAACTAAACCTGCTTACCTTCCTCCTCCTCCTCGTCATCCTCATCTTCGTCCTCCTCCTCCTCATCATCATCTTCATCCTCATCGTCTTCATCCTCATCCTCGTCCTCCTCCTCCTCAGCCACACTCTTGGCTTTGACAGGGGCAGCTTTTGCAGGTGCTTTTTTCCCTTTGGCCGGTGTTGTTTCCATGGCTTCTTCCTCAGAGTCTAAATGAGAAACTCATCAGCCCTAGAGGACTGCTCTGACCAACAGGACCCTCAGGAAGACCAGGAGGAAACCTGCCACCCCAGTCCTCAGGCCCGAGGAGCAGCCCTGAGGCCCCCAAGCAGTGGGAAGGAGCATGTGGAGACAGCCTTTGCACAGCAACCAGGAAATGGCCCAAACTCACCGTCCTCCTCATCCTCCTCGTCCTCCTCATCCTCCTCGTCCTCCTCATCCTCCTCGTCTTCCTCATCTTCGTCCTCTGAGGCGGGGGCTGCAGCCACTGCTTTCATTACTTTTGGCTCAAATTCTTCATCTTCATCCTCATCCTCCTCATCCTCGTCTTCCTCCTCACTGTCGTCTTCCTCATCCTCATCACTGTCTTCCTTCTTGGCATTTTTGCCATTCTTTGCCCCCTTGGCTGTGGCAGCAGTGCCCTTTTTACCTGGGGCAGCGACAACAGCTTTACCTGGTACGGCTCCCTTCTTGCCAGACACTGCAACTGCCTTGGCGGGAATCACTGTCTTCTTGGCAGGAGTGGCCACCACTTTCTTCCCTGGGGTGACAACTGCCTTCTTGGCAGGTGTGGCAATTGCCACCTTTTTGGTTGGAGAAGCCATTACTTTTTTTGCTGGAGTCATAACAGCTTTCTTATTTTTTTTCTGAGGGATGACAACCTTGAAAGTAAATAAAAACCAAGTATTATTTTCCTACACCCCAAAACATAGCTAAGACTGATTTGTCCTAGCATCTCCTTTAGCTGAGGACCACACATGAATCCCAAGTTCAGGTGAAGTCAGGTTTCTCTGCCCTTCTATATATGCCTTAGCATTTTACAAAGGTGCAGCCCTGAAACTTTAAGTCCCTCGGAACCAAACCTATGCCAAATCCTACATGTCATGCTTCAATTTCAACTTTCTCTTTTTCCTTTGGTACCAGAAAATAAACACAACCTTGTGCTTCCATAAGTCACTGGGATATCTCCCCAGCCCAATTTCAACTTTTTTTTCTTTTTGTGCCAAACCAGGGACTGAACTCAGGCCCTTGTACTTGCCAGGGATCAACTTTCTTCATTTGAAGACTTATGTAAACAGAATGGATAATCTTTGCAAAATTACAATGAAGGGGGGCCGGGGAGATGGCTCAGTAGGATAAGCGCTTGACTGGCAAACACAAGGATCGGAGTTCAATCCCCAGTTCCGCAAAAAAAAAAAAAAAAAAAAAAATTACAATGAAGGGCCAGGGAGATAGCTCAGTACACTCAGCACTTACCTGGCAAGCCCATGGGTCTAAAATCCCCAGTTCCACAAAGATAAATAAAAATAAAAAAATAAAGACTGGGCACAGTACCTTGATAAAAACTAGTACAATATGCTCTCAAGGTCTTTCATTTAGCTAGGAATGTCTCTAGCTAATGCTTTATGGTAGAGTAACACCTCACTGTATTAAAAAAATAAACACCTGGGGCTGGGGAGATGGCTCAGCGTAATAAGCGCTTCCCTGGCAAGCACAAGGGCCTGAGTTCAATCCCCAGTTCCACCAAAAAAAAAAAAAAAAAAAAGTTACAGATACACATTGAAGACCCATTTAAAGCTACTTTTCATTAACTGCTAACTTTGAGTAATTTTTGGGGAGTTTTTTGCAGTACCAGGAATTGAATTCAGGACCCTGCACTTGCCAGACAAGCACTTATTCTACTGAACTATCTCCCGGGGCCTTTGGCTTTATTTTTACTATTTTCTTTTTTGGTACCAGGGATCGAACTCTGGGCCTCGTGCTTGCTAGACAGGCACTGAACCACTGAGCTACACCCCCGACCCTAGTAATTTGTGTAAAACTATTAAATTCTAAACAAGACACCTGAGCCCAGATGCAGGTAAGTTGTGCTGCAGTGAGCATAGAGAAATGCCAGAGGGCAAACACCAACACAAAGGGAGGTGGCAGCCCTCCACCTATACCACATACTCAAAAAAAGGTATAATAGAATAAGAAGACCAACTAATTTTGCTAAGGAAATAGGAAAGGAACCTGCTAAAGTCATCCTTAAAGCTAACTATAATGTTCAGTCACTTATAAAACAGATCTCCTCATCTTACCACGTGAGGTATGTGGATTGTTAAAACTATGGGATAAAAAGCCTGGATGTGATCTCTCAACTACTCAGGACACTAAAGAATCAATCCCAGCTCAGGAAAATCAATCACCAAGTTCAACACCAACCTGGGCCAACTTAGACACTGTCTCAAAAATTTAAAAAAAAAAAAAAAAAGAAAAATAGAAAACCTGACTTATCACATCAACCTCTGTAGAAGATAGTAAGAGAAAAATGAAATCCTTCCCAAGATTGCCTATCCCAAATCCACACTGCAATCTCACCCAAATGACAACCTTACAATTAATGCTGTGCTTGTCATTCACACATTACAATAGATCAAACATGAAGCAATCTCACTTTTAACATAAGTCTCCATTCAGTTGAATATAATTACCTCTTCTCCACTGCTGTCGTCTTCTTCATCGTCTGACATTTCCTCATCATCACTTTCTTCTACCTCCTTTGGGGGAGGTGCCATTTTCTTCGGGTCACCTTGATTTTTACCAGCCTAAGAAACGAACAAATTATACTTCTAGTCACATTTCAGAACACTCACATTTTTGCCACTAGTAAAACACTGTATAACCATCACATTCCTAAAATCCACTTTCCATGGTGAGGGTAAATACTATTCTTGTTGACAGTGCAGATTTTTTTTTCTTGTGGGCCTTTCAAGCAAAAAAACGAAAAACGAAAAAAATGACTTTTCCTCAATTTATATTAATCACAGATCTAAGTAACTCGTAACATTACACATAACTTTTAATAACAGTCTGCACATTTGAAATGAAATCTCAGTATCTTTTTTTTGGTCTGTTTGGAGACAGGGTCTCACTATGTAGTTCAGGCTGGCCTCGAACTCTTGTTGACCCATCTGCCTCTGCCTCCTAAGGGCAGGGATTACATGCGTGCGCCAAAACGCCCGATACTGGCATCTTTGCCTCAATTCAAACTAGAAAACCCTTAAAGGCATCTTTTAAAAAGTTACATTTAACTACTTTTAGTTGTCTTAAAGTTTTCCTTTCCTGACGCAGCAGCCCGCCTCTGCGAGGCCCAGCGGGACCACGTGGGGTGCAGGTTGCCACCATGTGCCCAGAGGCCAGCACCTCTCTCTAGAGCTCACCATGTGCCAGGCTGCCCGGCCTCCGGAAGAGGTTCCGAGGCCGCCGAGTCCCCAGCAGCGCCAGGCCCCGCGGCCTGCCAGGGACCCCCGTCCACGCGGCGGACCCACGTGGCGAGCCGTGCGCCGAGGCACGTGCGCGCGGAGGCGGGACCTCCGCGCCGGCGCAGGCTTTCAGCCTCATCCCCGCACCAAGGCCAGCGCTCCCGCCCCACGCACAGTACCAAAGTCCCCCGCCTCATCCACCACCCCGCGAGCCAGCCCCAGCGCCCCATCTCACCAAGCAGCCAACGTCGCGAGACCTCCCGCTAGTCGCGCGAGACTTCCCACAGCATGGCGCCCTGGAACGCAACCGCACCGAGCGCAGGAGCGCAGGCCCGCGACGCCGCGCGCGCGTTCTTTGGAAAGCAGGCCTCAGCGTCCGTGTATGCGCAAAGGGCTCCTTACCTTTGAGAGCTTTACCATGATGGCGGTTTACAGTGGCGGAGTGTGTGGTGAGCAAGTGGTGCAGATAAGCCTAGGAGAAACCTAAGCGCTGTAGATGGCGGCCACGGGTTCTGAAGACTCGGGAGCGCGTACGCCTGGCAGCCAGCTACAGCTAGAGACTGAGGCGAAAGGCTGAGCCTGCCCAGTAATCGCCTCTGGAAAGGCGACGACGAAGACCTCGTGACCCTATCTCCACCAACCAGAACTCGCGCCCGCCCTTTGAGCCAATCGCGAGTCTAAGCCAGTACGGAGCCGGGCGGGGCGTAGGCGAAGGGGTTTGCCCTGGACGGCCGAGGAAGGGGAGGAGCTTGGCGCCGGCGACCTGGGGGCGGGACTAGCTTTGTGCAGGCCCGCTTTGATTGGCTGTGGGCACGCGGGTCCTGAGCGTATCGGCGCGGCTCGCGCTCCTAGCGCCTGCGCCGTGACCCTGGAGTTTTTTGGCGCCGGATGTGTGGCCACCTTGGGGGAGGTGGGGTAACGCGGCTCCGGGCTACTAGATGTAATGGGGTCTTGTAGGTTCTCATGGTCTCGCAGTTTGGAAACCCCACTCGCGGCTGCGGCGTGCTCTTCACGTGGCCTTCTGGGCCCTATAGAGCGTTTTGCCGCGTGTTGCTGCTGATTCCCCGCCAGCGCTGAAGTTGGGGGCCGCACTGTTCCCGCTGATCTTTAGAGGGTCCCTGCTCAGCCCGGCCCGCGGTGGAGCGGGGCCAGGTGATCCCTCCGGGTTTCGGAGCTGAAGCTGTCTCCTGAGAACCGTTAATAAAGGCTGTCGCGAGCAGGCCAGCGCAGTGTTTGCACAGCCTGGGTAGTGTTGCGGTAACTGGCGGCGACAGGGATGATTGTGGGTTCAGGAGAGGGAGTTGAGCGGGCTAACCACGGAGCTGGGGTTTTGAGCTCTCCCGGGTTGCCACTTAACTATTTTGAGTTAGCGCCTGCTTTCAAATTGGATGGCCTTGAAGTCGTTTCAAGGCAGGGTTCCTCATGTGATGGGACACCAACTATTGTCCTTGCATCGTGCTTTTGCCAGTTATTCAGGTGGCTTCCTTGTTTGGAACCTAATCAACTCGGCAGACCTGAGCACTTTGCCTCACTTCTAGGATATTTCCAGGACTTCTGCTAACTGCTCGTTCTTGCAGAAGCAGAGTGCTTACAGCTGTGACGCTGTTGATTTCAAGTCGCCCTGGAGATTTTAAACTAAGAGTTGTGGTGGGACCCAGAGTTTTGTACTTAACAAGGCAGGGCCCGTGGGGATTCTTACAATCAAGTTATTTTGCAGTCTATCAGCGCACTCCTGAGACTTTGAGTATATAGGGAACGCAGGGCTGCCCCCTGAGGCTCAAATCGGCTGGAGACTGAGACCCAGAAGGGGGACAGGGACCAGAGGGGTGCTTTCTGGGTTGGGGGGAACATGTAGCCCAACAAAGCATGTGGAACAAAAACGCAGCGTTTCCCTTACCTGAAGAGGCTGTGATGAACAGTGGGCAAGATGGATGCTGTAAAAGGTTCTCCCGACACTGGCATGGCCAGCTCCTTGTCATTCAGAGCTCGGTTCACAGCTCTCCTAAGGGCCCTTTCTAGGCCGCCAATGAAAACGCTCCCTTACCTTAGACCTGACTTAGGTGTTCACCATCCATCTGCCACCTCTCCAGGCATGAAAACGGATTTCTCTGCTGTGCTTCTGGTGCCTAATGTGTGCCTGGCAGACAGTAATGTTGGAAATAATCTGCTAAGTGAATGAGTGAAGCGCTACGAAGAAGCAGAGATTGCCAGCTTGGTGTGAGGTGTTGCTTTGGAAGTGATCCGGGGTGGCAAAATACCGTGATACCTAGTATAGTACCTGTATGACATTTCCTGTTAACAGTTTGTGTCTAATTGTCCCCCCAAAGCCTTCTAGAGTTTGTGATTAATTCATGATCCAGTGGTGGGATTATGGGTGTGTGAGTGCTACGCCCAGCCTAGGGCTGATAGCCTGAATGCAACAAAAGGGAGACAGACTTGCTCTCTTGCCATTGTTGTTGCTACTCCTCCCTTTTGCTCTTGCTGTTTTGCTGTTTTCTGCTGCCCTCTACCACCTGCTAGTCCGCTTTGGAGCCATCCGAGTATGGACTGAAACCTCCACAAACTGTGAGCATCTTTCCTTCCTTAATTTTGGGCCTCAGATATTTTGTCCCAACAATGAGAGTAACTAAAACACTTCCCAATCACCAAGGTCCATCCCAGCTCCTTAAAAATAAGAAATGTAGGGCTGGGGAGATGGCTCAGTGGAATAAGCGTTTCCCTGGCAAGTGCAAGGGCCTGGGTTCAATCCCCGGTTCTGCAAAAAAAAAAAGTATACATTTACTCAGAAATTCTTCAAAGCCAGATGTAGTGTATGCCAGTAACCTCAGCTGCTTAGAAGGCTGAGGCAGAATGATCCCAAGTTCAAGCCCAGCCTGAACAATTTAGCAAGATGGTGTCTCAGTGATGGAGGGAAGGCTGTGGAGGCCCTAGGTTCAATCTCCAATATAACGTGTATGTGCATATATGTGTATCTGTATGAAAGCACTCTCCCCATGTTATGGAAGCTAGGGCAAGCCCCGTATTGAGTAGGGGAGATAAAGACCTGCTTAACCAGGGCAGGCCCCTGACACCAACTGATAAAAACCTGAATCATGGCAGGTCACATCGCAATGTGGGAAGTGTTACCAGCCACTTACCTTTATACGCTGAGGTTCATTTGCACATTGCTGACCAAATTGGAGGTCATTTATTTTGGTAAAAAACAAAAGATTTATCCAAAGCTTGCTCCAAAGAAGCCAGGCATGGTAGTGCATGCCTTAATCCCAGCATTTGAGAGGGTCTCAAGAAACTGGCAGGGGGCTGGTGAGATGGCTCAGTGGTCTAAAGCACCTACGTAGAACAAGCTTAGCAAAGCACAGGGACCACGGTTCAATCCCCCAGCACCACATGTCAGCCCGCCCCGCCCCCTGGTGGGCTGAGCTGGCCACACACACACACACACACACACACACAAATTAAAAAAATAAAAATAAAATAAAATAAAACTGGCAGCCTGACCTACACACTCCTCCCACCTGAGACCCTCCTGGCTTCACCATGCAGAGTTGTGTACACACAGAGCCAGCTTTTTGAGGAAACTGGAAGCAACAGCCTGGATGCTGCTTCAGCACAAGCTAGCCATGAGACAGCTGTTACAGAGTTCTCTGAGACTTAGTAAGAAAGCTCTCAAGCAGACCCATTAGTCAATGTCTAACAAACATTTCCATTACTCCCACCTCACAGCTGAAGTTAGCCATAAGGTAGCCACTGAGGGCCTGCGAGAAATGAGATTCTGGAGAACCAGGCTGGGACCTCCCATTGCCCCATCTGTTGGAACCCAGCTGTACCCAAAAATGGGCTCCACATCCCCAACTGAGGACGGGCCACTGGGCACATCAGGGTTTGGCCAGGACCAGAATAGACTCCTGACGTTCCTGCCAGCCCGCCCTACCCAGCCCTCTGTGTGACTCCCTGGCCTGGCCTGGCCTTGGGGCTCAGCTGTGGCCAGCACCCCTCCTCCCCACCCCCTCTTGTGTACCTCACTGTGATTCCAAATCACCAGAGGCTTTGGCAGAGGGCGAAGGGGGGGGTGCAGTCTCTGCCCTCCTAACCTGGAAGTTTCCTGTGCTGACTGGACACAAGCCCAGCTGAGCCCCTGCAGCCATCTCCAGGCCCCCAGTGGTCTTACTTGCCTGGCCCTTTGTCTCCTACGTGTGGTGCCCATGGTCACCTGACCCTGGCCATCTTCACCATCAGGCTGGCTGGGCCTTAGCAAGTCTCCTGATTCCAGGAATTGGAGCCTCAGTTTCCCCATCTGTCTGATGCCTGGCTGCTTGAGCAGCTCTGTTTTCCCTACCGCCCCCGCCTGTGCCCAAGGAGGGGCCAGGTTAGGGCAGGGGCTGAGAGGGGGATATGGCTGCCTTCTACCTCCTGGGGGAGGAGACAGTTGGTGTCTTTGGAGTATAAATTTTAGCAGTAAGTCCCTTTTTACTGATTAAAAAGACCCTGACAGAGGCAAAAGAATATTGAAGTTCTAGGTAAGCTTTCTCATACTAACAGTCTTGCCCTGGTAGCATAAATTTACCTTCTTTATTCCTAGCACAGCATCTGGTACCATGCCTGACACAGCAGATTTCCACAAATTTTAATTAAAGAGTCAATTACAGCTGGATATGGTGTTGAATGACTGTAATCCCAGCATTCAGGAGTCTGAGGCAGGAGGAACACTGTGAGTTGGAGGCCAGCCTGAATTGCACAGTGAGACCCTGTCTCAGAAAGACTGAGGAAAAAAAAAAAAAGGTCAATTATAAAAATATTGCCGGGCTGGTGAGATGGCTCAGTGGTCTAAAGCACCTACTTAGAACAAGCTTAGCAAAGCACAAGGACTGTGGTTCAATCCCCCAGCACCACATGCCAGCCAGCCCCGCCCCCTGGTGGGCTGAGCTGGCCACACACACACACACACACACACACACACTAAATAAATAAAATAAATAAATTTACTTTTTTTTTGTTTTTTGTTTTGTTTTTTGGTGGAACTGGGGATTGAACTCAGGCCCTTGCGTTTGCCAGGGAAGCGCTTATCCCACTGAGCCATCTCCCCAGCCCTAATAAATTTATTTAAAAAATAAAAATAAAAATATTGCCCAGGGGCTTGTTATACAGCTCAGCAGCACAATGCCTACCTGGTAGGCGCAAAGTCCTGAGTTTAATTTTGGTACCAAAAAATATAACACCTTTGAGCCTGCTGTGGTGACACACATCTATAATCCCAGCACTCAGGAGGCTGAGGCAGGAAGATTGCTTGGAGTTTGAGACCAACCTGGGACACAGAGCAAGACCCCATCTCAGACAGGCAAAAAAGGCACACAGAAGAAATCTCTGAAGAGCAGTACCAAGCCTTCAGGGTAGCTTTCTCTAGGAAGGCCCACATGGCCTGAGCCTTGATTGAGCAGAACCTATAAATCCAGAAGCTGTCCTGGCCTCTCATGAGGGGCAGATATGAACTGTTACCTCCCTGTGTGGCTGTGGGCCTCCGACACCTTCATCTTCTCTGAGATCAGTGTCCCTGGGTCCCTCTACTGAGGGAACATCTGGTACCAAACTAGAGCAAAAACAGAC